GATAAATCTAAAAGCCACTGTTTTGTCCCGCTAACACATAAATCCCCCCCCCCCATTTCCTCCTCCCACCCCTTTCAGTAGACTTGGGACCAGTCCGCTGACTCCCGGTCGAGTGCGATCGACGTATTGGGCACCCCTGCCTTCACATCAGAGGTAATTCGCTGACTAGCTTAGCATTTAGTGCCTTTTTTTTTTTTTGCACGAGTGGTGATTCAGTCATCTGATAGGTTGTCCTCTGTGTCAATCAAGTAACGGGATTGATGATAGGCTGACATATTACGTTCTGTGTATTTAGCACCGCTGTTTGAATGGCATTGCCACCGCCGAGGCATTTTCAACGCTTGTCATGTGAAAGCCCAGGAGCCGCATTGAACCAGCCAAAGAGCCGCGGGTTGGCCACCCCTGCTCTCAGCCATGTTGACGTTTCGGGGTGAAAACCGCTGTAATCGCTAGCTGCTCGCTACTATTAACTTCCAGCAGCGTTTCCAACTCATCAGTAAGGAAAGTAGCTATTGACTGTCCTAAACGTCGCTCAATGATGTCATCACTGCGGGTGATTTACTTGGGGGGATGTTTTTTTTTCTTTTTTTTTTTCTTTTGTAATTTTTATTTGTTGATGTTTTTTTTTTTTTTATTTATTTCAGACGAAGAAAAGTTTTGCATTTACATCCAGCCCAGATTGTAAACCTGGCGCGATCAGCCAGCAGCGGCTTCATTTGGGGGAGGGGCCACAACAGTTCCCGGCGCTGCTCATTGAGAACAACGTGCTTTCACCACACAGACTCCAAAAGTTTCCAATAACACCAGAAAAAGTCGCTAGATTGTTACTAGTCACATTTTTGAAAAAAAGAGTCGCTCGAGAGGATCTAAATACTCACTAAATATAGTGTCAAAGTCGCTAAATTTGGCAACACTGACTTTCTGTCATGTCAAAAAAAAAAAAAAAACATTTTTGTTTTTTTCCCAACACATGTCGCGGTGGCCTTGGGATCAGTCCGCGGTCGACATACACAGGGGTTAGGCACCCCTGATTAAGAGCGTTCAATCAACCTACCATGCATGCTTTTGGAATGTGGGAGGAAACCAGTTTACCTGGAAAAAATCCACGCAGGCACGGGGACAACATGCAAACTCCACACAGGAAGGCCGGAGCCGGAATCGAACACTGCACCTCCTCACTGTGAAGCGGACGCGCTAAGCAGTCTACCATAATTCCACTGTCTTGTAAACAGTATCTTTCACTTTGTTCTTGAAATCCACCACTTGTGTAATGCTAACCCCATGCTATCAATGTACTTGTTTTATTTGAATTTTTAATCTCACCCTGGGCAAATAACCAAAAGTACTATGTTTGGGGGCATTTTCTTCGTGTTCTGCACAGAAAATAAAGCAAAAAAGGTGAAAAAGACTTTGCACTTCACACTGCAGTAACGGATGCATACCAACACCTGGGCAGTGCCTGGGCATGCCTCGGATGCTTGCGTTTACCGCTAACAAAGCCGCAGCAGAACGCAAAGAAAAATGACGAAAGTTCAGAATCCATCAGGAGAGAATGAAAAAAAAAACATTAAAGGAGATAATAGCCTCTTCGATCAAACTTTTATCATAAATATTATCATCTCTTTGTCATACACTACTCGCATAAAAAAATTACTTCCAGGTAAACAGAACAGGGAAATGTGCAGACTAAATGGGAGGGGTAGAGTCCACAGTAACAGGCACGTGTTTTTTCAAGGTGTATGTTTATGCCTCAACCTAACAAGCAAATAGCATGCCTTTAAATAGTATGGTCTCTGCCAGACACTAGTACACAAGACCCAGCCAGCTGATCAAACAGCAACTCCCCACAAAAGCAACCACATGCTCCTACTACGTGACAGAAGTCCAACTATTTCCAAAAGCAAAACAAGGACGAAAAAAGGGAAGAGCGCAAGTACAGTACTTTCTTTGCACCTTAAATCGCTAGTTTACATTCATTACAGATTCTCATACTTGAATTACGTTACCATGTTAACAGCACGTCAGAGAGCCTGCTCTCATAATCCAGGTGTTGTTCCAACGTAATCCCGGGTGCAGCCGGCTGCACAGAAACACTGACAGTCTTCCCGGCACTGTTATCAAACTCCCTGTTTGTTTTCTCCGCCCCACCCCCTCCTCTTACCGATCGTCTCCCCCGATTGTTCTTTACTCCCGCTCCCTCCCTCTTCTTTCATTTGCCTTGTCAAGCTGACATGACAAAAACCATATACATCTTGGAGAAGACCACAGGACATGTTAGCAAAAAGCAGGGGTTTTGTAGTTTCATGTTTATTTGAAATTGGGCCTGTCAGCATGGGCGTAGCCAGAAATTTTTCAGTGGGGTGGCCAGCGTGACACAACGCCTCACTGAGGACAAGTCATTCCCAAGTACACACGCATTGTTCATACTTGGAACCGCGAATGGTTGTATATCATACCATCCACAGTCAGGGTTTCATGAAATGAAATGTAGACTTGACCGTAATTTAGTAGTTAATGCCACTTTGTTTGCTTTTCTGTACAGTACTGTCTTGTGTACTTTTCGCCCCACCCACTCTCAAGGACTTACACACTGCATGAACCCTGACAAGAGCATGGAAAATCCTACTGGACCCCCCACACCCTGCCCACCACCTCTTCCAGCTGCTCCCCTCAAGTAAGCGCAATCGAACTATGCGCGCCAAAACCAGCAGACAACCAAACAGCTTCCTCCCTCTTGCCATTATCTCCCTAAATAGTGATAAAAAGTGGATTAACTCAACTTCCACAAACGCAATATTAATTAATCACAATGCCGTGCTTAGGCTATTCGGGCTGCACAGAACTTATTACTGCAAAGACATTTTTTGGGTTGCCTTCCCCTTTAAGTAAGCCTTCAATAGAGAGGTACCTATTATGTTTTTGTTGTTATTTAATTTCTACTCATACAAGGGAGGCATAATTTAACTTAAGAATGCACAGGATATTGACAAAAATATTGTAACTGTGATAATGGCACATGCAGTTCTGAATGCAAAAGACACGCAATAAATTCAGCTGGAACTTTAATGTAACTGTGACCAATCAATTGCAACCTTAATGGCGCATCTTCATCTAATAGGAAAGCAGTATCTAGTTTCAGTCCTAACACTAAGGAACTTAATTATATAAGAATACATTCATATTTTTCCACATGAAAAAAATGTATCTCTTTTATTAGATATTAAAGATGTCATTTCTTTAGGTACATCACAATAATATCGACATTGCAATATCCAGCACCCATATTGCGTATTACATGTCTTTCCAATATCGTGCAGCCCTACTTTAAATCTATTAGAATTAGAATGTATGGCATCTTTGAGTATCATCTCAGTATCTCGCTAAGGGTCCTCTTTTGTGAAAATCAAAATGTAGTGACCCTACTTTTGGCGGTACGTCAAACTCACCTGAAACAGCATTTAAAAGTGTAAATTACCATACATGTATTTTCAGTGGCTATTGAGAAACAAAAAACAATATTGATTGTTCTTAGAGGTAGGCCCGACTTTGTAACAATAACGTAGATCCCAAGGTGAGAACAACTGAGCTTGAGTCTTTATATCACAGTGAGCCATTGCCATGGAGGTGTTGGGAGCCAAGGAGCATAATTTCAGTTTTATCTGAGTTTAATGAAAATAAATTACCAGTAAACCAGCTTTTGGTGTCTTTACGACACGCCAAAAGTTATGATAGCTTACTGGGGTCATTGGCCAATTTCTACACACGCAGATTCTTTATTATCAGTCCATGCAAATTTTAAGCAAGTCATCAACTAGGATTTAAACCAATTTAGTTCCTTTAAGACAGGGGTCGACAACCCAAAATGTTGAAGGAGCCATATTGGAGCAAAAAAACTAAAAACAAATGTGGCTGGAGCCGCAACAAATTAAAAGCCTTAAAAAGAAGGCTCTATGTATCTATATTGGCTATATTAGCCTACTATCAAAATGACTAAGTTGGCTGCAAATACACAATGAGCCTTACTAATGACACATTTTTTCCCTGTAGTGCATCCTGAAAAGCAGGGGGGGCTCAACCTTTTTGGACCAAAGCTCTATTTTTCGATCAACCAGCCTCCCGCAATCGACCCATGACCGCACACGCACGCACTTACACACGCATGCCATAATGAGCAACAGCCATAACAGCCCGAGATGAACGAGGTACGGGAAGCACTTTTGTAGCGTGTTAACTTTCGTAGCTGACGTGTACCATTTTAAAATGCTTCTCTCTGTCCTTCAGATTGCCATTCTTTGCCAGTACCCTCGGTGAATTGGACATGAAATGCCGCTTCTTCGTACAACAGCCACCTTGCCTGGCATCCTGCCCTGCTAATTAATAGAAACGTGGGTCGCAGGCTATGACGCAAATCTTCGTTGACAGAAATGTTGAAATGTAATATTTATTCGACACGTTTTTATAGCATTAGAAAATGTTTAGAATGTTTGTCCTCCTACAGAAACCATATTCAAACAAAAAAAATATATTTTCACTCCCCCATGTTTTTCCATTTTCAAACATTTTTAAAAAACTCCAGGGAGCCACTAGGGCGGTGCTAAAGAAACGCATGCGGCTACGGAGCCACGGGTTGCTGACCTCCGCTTTAAGCCAATATAACATGCTCCAATCGCTATTGTAAAATGTGGTCAGCTGTGTCCAAACACCACTCAAAGTTTACCACTAGCCCTGTCACGATAACAAAATTTTTGAGACGATATATTTTCCCAAATTATGGCAATAAACGAGACGAATGTGGTCGTTTTTTCCCCCTCCCACTGATACAGTGACGTTAAAACAGATTTTATTTATTTTTTGTTTTGTTTTTGTTTTAACTGTGAAACAGATTTTATTTATTTTTTGTTTTGTTTTTGTTTTAACTGTGACCCGTTTGAAATTTGTCTGAAAAATATGCATCTTGGCCCAACAAAAGTTGTTTTCCAACTGATGTAATCAATACTCACCGAAATAAATGTCCAGGTAAATAAATGTGATATTGTGCCTATTGACTGACGTGTTGTTGCGACAAGCATGCTGTAAGCAATTTGGACTCACCACCATTGGACAGATTCAGACTCGTTGAGCACTCGAAACCGATATCTGGTGCCGGTGGCAACGAGTTCCTGTTGGGCGTAACGAATGTTGGCAGAACCAAAGGTGTATGAACAAGCGATTAAAGAGTAGAAAAAGAGCACCGCAGAGGTGAACTGCGAGCCATTGCGCATGATAGCGCCCGCTAGCGTTAATGCTACGCGGTATTGTTAGCGTTTCCATCCTCCGTCTGCCGTGGCTCATTCAAAACCGAAAAAATGAATTGCGTGTGCCTGAATAATAGATTGAACACATGCGAACCAAACTGTTGAAACAGGCTTTAGAAGCCGCTCCACGATAGTGTTTACTGTTTAGGACTGTGTGAGTGAGTGCCAAATTCAAAGAGCGACAAGGCAGGCTGATTGACAGAGGAGGCAACGAATCGGTGGGAGGGAATTGATGACGTATGTAAACAAACATGCACGGAATGACTATTTATCACGTCCAATTTCACAGTATTATTTAAATTATTTTATTAGTTCTTAATATTATTTCAAGTCTCTTGCTTTCGTAACATATAAAAAAGGATGATCAATAATTGCTATACATTCAGAAATGTTTTAAGAGTAATTGATGAAAACGCCTGTTATCAAGTCAAGTCAGCTTATTGTCAAATATACTCTTTGTGCAACACACGGCACAGATGAAATTTCTTTCCTCTCAACCACAGTGCAAACATTCAGTGCACCATGTGTTGTGAAATGTGAATTAGTTTTATCTTTTTATTTTTCTAAATTATCACGTTATATTTTATATCCTTTTGTTTTATTGTTTTGTATATAAAATATGTCAAATGATTTGCCTGATCTTTGTATGATATTATATATTTTGTCAGTTAAAAAAATAGACCATATATTGTATTGAGTCGGGAAAACCGTCGTCTCCATTTTTTCCCCACATCGAGCAATAAATCAATATCGTAATTAACAACAAGAAGGTTGCTCGAAACGTTGACTAGTGCTATTTCAGTATGATGATACATTCTAAATCCTGACTGAAAAACATATATAGATCATTGCATGAAAGTTCTGCTACTGTTTAGCCAGGACTTTTGAAAGACATTTGGACAGACAAGGAAGCCTGGATGTTATTTTTTTAATCATCTTATTCTTAAACATCTGGTTTAAGATTAGTTTCAAGGTTGATTTAGCTTTGATGACAGACACTTTAAATCACTTCAGGACATAAAAACCAGTGGTAAAGCACCGGTTGGAGAAAACAAGTAGGGATCTGATTTAAAATACGTAACCAAACCCAGGAAACAGGTGAACCGTCATGTTCGCAATGAGAGCTCAAGGGCACTTTGACGTCAGTTTCGGTTGACAGTAGGGTGAGGTCAGGGCCGCTCCTCCCTAAACGCAGAACATGCACTGTGCATAAAGCCGCATCCTGCGTGGGAAGGGCCCCATTTTCCACGAAGGGACACATCGCGGCCATGACAATCGATATCTGACCAATTTGAGGAAACACTCAGACATGTACCTGGCATATCGTCTTAAATTTTATGCGCCTTAGGGTGTTGAGCTTGCGCTGGGGGCGATACTTTCAGCTTATCGGTCAGCGATTCCAAACCGGGTGGACACTACAAGAGTAACAAGTAAAAAGGCCACAGCATTTAGAAGAGCTTAGAGCTGTTCCACATGTTCACAAACCAGCAGTGCAATGTACTAAACCAAAGACGTATCAACGACTGTATTTAGTACAATCAAAGAGAAAGGGGACTACACCATGTGTTATCTGTGTTGCTGCCTGTCTCTCTGTAATGAGTGCTGGAATTGAACTGTGAGGTTGTGTGCCTTTACTTTTAATAAATTCAAATTAGTACTTATTAAATCAAGAATTTAAAGTGTTTAAACAAGAGCCAATAGATTCTTCATTCAGCACTAACTTCACTGTTCCACAATAACAGTTTATTTGTAAAAGGAAGACTGCTAACATACAATTAGCTCCCGCCCCCGTAGTCATCCTTGCCTCTTCATGTATCTTACTGAAATGTCAAAGTCATGCAAATGTTGTGGGAACACGCCTGATCCCAGCAAAGCCCAGAGGGCAATACTCACCTCCCCTACAGTTTTACAAAACAGGAATGCACATGCACACTGCGATAGTGAGAATGTGACAGACGTCTATGGAGAGCATATTTTTCTTTTGGCCAGTTTTGTTACTCCCATTAGAGAATTGTATTCAAGATTTTCGATTAAAGTGCAGCAACAAATATTACAAATTGTAGTTAGTGCAAGCACATGTCCAGTTCACGTGCTCCAACGGACACTGGAAACAACAAAACACAAGGTACCGGTTGCATAGTTCAGAGCAGTTTAGTGCATTTCAGAATGCCATTACATTTATTTTGTGTTTTCATTGTCAAATGGCACCAGAATGTTGGATTTGAGAGGACTTAATCAAGGCTGAAGACCACTATCAGGTCCCCTTCTGTCATCATGAGCACTCTTTGACTGATGGTTCCATTATGTTGTTTTGTTTAAGGATTAGGTTATTTGATTATAATTTATTATGTGATTACACAATACATTGTGTGTGTATGTGAAATGACAGAAGACTTATAAACCAAACAAAAGTAATGTTTACTCAATAAGTAAGGTGACAGTAGCTACTCTTGGTCGGTAATCTTAACAACACAGGCTGACAGCCTTTTTTTTCTGATTTAGGTTTTACAACGTGAATAAGGAGTATGGTAGCCTTAACCCCTTGAGGGACAGTGCGTACTACAGTGGACAGCTTATCATGTTATCGGGTTACAGGCTGCATGAAAGGGTTAACTTGTTTTATGTTGAGAGGGAAGAAATTTCATCTGTGCTGTATGTTACACATACGTACAGCACATTTGACAATAAATTTGTACTCAATTCAATTAAAGGAAAATAAAAACTGACAGGTGAACAGGTGACCTCACCCTCATTCATTCCAAGTCGGATGGCCCTAGCGCCACCCTCTGTAGCCCATTGGTGTTTCAGTGTAACATATCAAGGTAATGAAGGGACCCCCACTTCATGTTCACATTTCCGATTAAAAACTTTTTTTTTTGTTGTTGTTTTTGAGGTTTTTTTTTTTTTTTTTTTTTTTTTTTCCCAAGTGATGTACAGTAAATAATTCCCTGGTCTTGGCTACCATATATTTTTGGCTTTATTCTGGTGTGTTACCAACCTCAGTAATGAAAGCATTCTTTCGTCAGATACCCAAGTGAGTTATCAACAGCACAAAGTGAGAGTGAACCATGTCACCTAATAATCTGTAATTGTCTGATCAAACCAAACAAACCTGCAGAAAGTGAACTGTCACCACAGCCACAGAACGACAACCACTATTGGTCAGAACAGGCCTCTGTCTAGGTTCACAGTCGCAACCGAGACATGACTGTGTACCACAAAGTCTGCTCTGGCTGGCTGGAACACGACAATAATGTGAATTGCAAAGGGAAGTTTTCTTTTCAACTAAATGATAAAAAGGAAACAAAGATAGCATCTATGATACATACATACATGCATTTATACTCGCGGTGTGACATAAATGATTCGATTTGACAAACCAAATAGAAATGTTACATTTTCCTCACATTGCGTCCTGCAATCGTATCTCACGCCATGTATCGAAATACATATTGATTTGTCTTTAACCCTTTCACGCACCAATAATGATAACCTGTAACCCGATAACATGATAAGCTGTACACCGCAGTAACCGCTCTGCCTGAAAGGGTTAACAAGAGATGTACACCAGGTATATAAATTGGTTTGACATTGCTGATGATTTGTTTTTTCTTTGAATATAATGAACTTGGATAATTTGGCTTTTAGAGAGCTTCTACATGCCGTTGCATGTTAATGAACAAGACAAAAGTTACAGGCATACCGTATCGGACTGAAATGTAATCCTATTAAATCAAACTGCATCAAATCGTTACATTTTAAAATTGTACATTTTAAAATTTAATCCTTGAATCGCACCGTATTCCATGTATCAAGAATCTAATCGTCTTTGGTGGGAAATGTACACCCCTAGTACAGTACATACATACATACATATATACATACATACTGTACATACATACATACCTACTTTATATACATACATACATACACATACATACAGTTCTTTAAAAAGAAATACTTGTGCTTGCCTCGGCGTCCTGGAGGTGATCTGCTGAGATTTGGTAAAGGTTCCAGTTTCTCCCATGCGGTCCGATGGTCACCCAAAGTGTTTCCTTTTTTCATCAACCTTTCCCAGCCACCTGCCGTTTCCTTCCTTCCCGGCACACAGTCAGGAAAGAACCTGTAGCACAACTTGAAACTTGCCCTCCGTGTTTGTGTTCTCTATTGTTTGCAAGGCGCTGTCAAGACTGCTGAGCTGTGTGTGCGCGCGTGCGTGTGTGCGTGTGTGCGTGTGTGTGTGTGTGCGTGCGTGCGTGTGCGCGTATGTGCGCGCATGCATGCGCGTATTTCGAGTCTGGTTTTGGGTGTGTATAAATAGCATAGAGAGCAGGGACAGAGGCTTGCAGAGCAGCTGACTCAGCACATTCTAGTTTGGTTGAGTGCTCATCACACAGCAATGCTCGCAAAGATACGCCACATTATCCTCTTCCAACCAGCACCTACATCATCATCATCACCTTCACCTACACATCCCATCACCACTGAGAGATTCACTTGTGTAAGGCAGAAATATTACTGCATACATAACTGTGAATAGATCGTAAATACTATCTATCTATCATTTTTTTGTAATTTACATCTCTAAATATACTTGTTGACTCATACTTAGTCTTTTGTAAATTGAATTTTTTTAATTTTTTTTAGATTCTTCTGGATGAACAGGCAAGTTCAGACAGACATAATTCGATTGAAAATCTGGAACCTGATTTCTTTCATTTTCATTTTGGGTAGGTGTTATGACAAAGATGTACCATCCATCCATCCATTTTCTGTTCCGCTTTATCCTCACAAGGGTAGCGGGGTCGGGGAGGGGGGGGTGCTGGAGTCTATCCGAGCCGACTTCGGGCAGTAGGCGGCGGACACCCTGAACCGGTTGCCAGCCAATCTCAGGGCACAGTGAGACGAACAATTCACACTGACAGTCACACCTAGAGAGAATTTAGAGTGTTCAATCAGCCTGCCATGCATGTTTTTGGAATGTGGGACGAAAACCGGAGTACCCGGAGAAAACTGACACAGGCCTGGGGAGAACATGCAAACTCCACATAGGGAGGCCGGAGCTGGAATTGAACCTGGTACCTCTGCACTGTGAGGTCGATGCGCTAACCACTGGCCCACCGGGCCGCCCAAAGATGTACCTTTATTCATATTTTTGTATGGCTGTTGATATCACTGATCTAAGGTGGACCAAGTAGGCCTCTATGAGTGGTGGGCAATTGACAAAATTTTGCCGGTCCGTGATTTGTCATCCGTCAGCGGTCTGGGGACCCATCTGTCAGCGCCAGTCGATCATTTTTTTTAAGCCAAAGGAAACTGTAATCGTCAGTCCCTTCGTCCGTCATGGTATTTTCCCTGCACTTCCGGTAGTATTCTTTTTTTCTTTTCTTTTTTTTTTTTAATACAGCGTATGACCGGTCATTGTGTTGTGAATTGTGATTCGCTAACGGAGAAACCATTCTCAATGTAATCGAAGATGGCATGTCTGTTTAAAGGAAGAAAAAAACAGCATCACCAAATACCCATAATTGTACTTCATTGGAAAAACTTAAAAAGACGTTATAGCGGAGCAGCGCCAGGACGGAAAGGCGTGGTCAGATGACAATGCATGAGTCACTATTAATATTTTTTTATGTGTGCAACCTCAGTGGTTGCACATTAATATTGAACTTGTTATTTATAAAAGCTTTCATACTTTTTTCTGAGGAAAATGTTTATACCCGGCCCAGATAAATCTGACGAAAATGTATGTTAGGACGTTTATATTTTTAATTTTCAAATCAATGTTTTGGCCTGAACAAGCTTTGAACTTTGCCTTCGTTCTAAAATGGACTTATTCATTTAAGTCGACCAAAGTTTGAACTTTGAGTTTTTGGACAGAGAGAAATGTGGGGAAAATGTTAATGCCTGTGTGTTATAAAAGTTTAACAGCCTTAAAATACATGTAATTTCTGACTGGTCTATAGCCCCCCTTTGCCCTGGTGTAGCACCATCCCTACTGACTGACAAGCTTGGTTGTTCCTCTGATAAGAATGTGTTATGAATGTTAAATATCATTGAAATATACCACTATGCAGTGGCGGGCCGTGCATTTCAACCTTAGGCCTTCAGTGACGTCACATACATACACAATATAGGCTCGTCAAGCAGCACTTAATTTCAGGAGCATTTAAAACCATCAAGTATGCATTCACAATTAAGAGCAGGAAACTAAATTTACAGATAGTCGAAAATAAAAAGATGATTTAAAAATACGAAATAAAATGCCACCCAAATTACGTTGTGTGATCTTCAACAAGTCTGTCCAATAAATTGCGCAGTGTCGCAGTTTCATATAAGACACCAACCAAACAAT